ATGAACTTTTCTCCCAAAACGCCATGAATCGTCTCCCGCTGATAATGCAGCGCGACCCTGGAGTGTGAAATCCCTGTTGCGTTCAGAGTAGCCAGTTAATTGATTCACAAATTATTTAAAGTTTGTGGTGCCCAGGGGAGTGCTAAGACTGTAATGACAGCCCATTTTGTACGAGTTGAAAAACTCTTCCCTGGAAAGCCTATATTAAAATGTAACTGTAAGCTAACAAGTCTAATCTGATCCCAAGGAAGAGGGATGGTATCTGGAGTTGTGTTTTTGCATAAGTTCACCAGAATTTTATTTAATTGGAAAGTATCTCATTGTAAAAATAGAGCTCCAATTTTAAACTCAGGGATTAAAAAACTCAGGGATATCATAAAATAAGGATACTTCACTTCAGTAAACATTTTTATAATCTACATTCGAGTCATTTATCCATCACTCCATATTGTCTGTTGCATGTGTGATATTTCAAGGAAAAGAAAAACATACAAGCCATAAATTAGTGGTAAAGGTAGATTAAATACATTTAGAAGATTTGTTGTGATAAAACCTAGATCAAGAGATAGCTGGTCACTCTGAGCTGAATACTACGAGGCTCATCTGGCAGCACACATCGAGGTTGTTTCAGCTTTTTAGCAGAGGTTGTTTGATCTCTGTTTTAATATCAAGGAGCCTCTAATCTCGACCCATTAGCAAATGCTGTCATTCAGACACACGGTGTCGGCCTGATTTAAATAAAATGAAATGAAGATAGTTGTTTCTGGTCCCTTGGCTTCACTCATTGCCATAAACATATGCTCTGTGCCCTGCTTCTTTCCATCTTATTTATGACTTTAATTTGTTGTGTGGGCTGCGCAAGAAATCAAATTTAATCCAATCCTCCCAGGGACCCTGTCATATAATAACATGGTAATTTCTATGTATCCTTTTGAAAAATGAGGAAATTAATTCTTCCTGACATGTTCTAATTATTCCAGTGTGAACGGCGGATGGGCTCCCCTCCTTCCTCCCCTCCCCCCTCAGCCCCCTAAGTGTCAGTTGCCGACGGGTGGCGAGGTGCTAATGCTGACCAGCAGCGCGTTTAATTTGAAACATGAGCAGACACCTTTCAACACACCTTCTTAATGTTGGAGTGGCTCACACAAATTAATTCACTACTCATCTGGCAGCCCTGACTGAGGTGTGTGTGTGCGCCTGCATACAAGACAGTGTGTGTGTGTGTGTGTGTGTGTGTGTGTGTGTGTGTGTGTGTGTGTTTGGCAATGGGGGAGGGGTCAATTGGACACATGCATTAGTAAAGGTAACATAAGGTGTGTCTGTGTGCGTGTTTTTGTGTGTTTGAAGACTACGCTGTAGGTGTAAATGCATACAAGTCAGTGTGTGTGGACATGTGCTGGACAGGTAACACCGTATTTCTGACTTGGTGTCTAGTATGCATAAAGTTGTCCGCTGGGATGTAGGGATTGATTGGACAGCGTTTTTCCCCTCTTCTCAAACTAACAGCACCTTTTCACACATCCTGATTCTCTACTGAGAGCACAGAGGCTCATTTAATTAGCCCGTCATCAGCCAGTCTTTAGCTTATCACTACAGCATGCATGGGGTTGCTACAGGCAGAGATGTGCGGAAAAATTATCTTATCTTGCTTGTTCATGGGTGACATTAGATTTTTTTTTTTTTCATCAGAAAATGGTGATAATAATAATAGGAATAATTAGTTAACTGTCTGGTAACAATAAAAAAATAATCATTGGCTGGGCAAACATGAAGAACTTTTGTTAGCCTAAAGAATTATTCATTTGGTTCATAAATAGAAGGTTGAATTTTAAATCAAAAGGAAATTGTTTTTGTTTTTTTCCCAAAGTATTTGAGTCTGTTAGTTCACAGCGTTATGCACATTCAGATTTCTGACAGAAGAAATGTGTCTCCACCCAATTATGAACTGTATTCTGAAGCAGCTCAGACAGGAGGAGACAAGATAAACAAATAAAATTTACTGAACATTGGAATCGGGTTCAAATTGTAAAACTGCAATTGATTAAGTGTGTGTGTGTGTGTGTGTGTGTGTGTGTGTGTGTGTGTGTGTGTGTGTGTGTGTATTTTGTCTCTGAGCTGTAAAACAGAAGGGTTTAAAGCTGTTGCGTCATGGTCCAGGAGAAGAGAGCATGGCTTTGTGAACAGTGGGTGGGTCCCCTCATGACTCAGTGAGGGGAAAGGCGTCAACATGGCCGCCTGACCCTCGAGGATTAAATTGCCCCCCCACAGACACAGACACCCTGTAGGGGTTAATCACTTGCATTTTGGATTCCATGCAGAGAAGCAAATGCACTCTCCATCACTGTGGAAGAAGTGAGACACAAGAACTGCAGCAGCTCTGTGGGCCGATGTGCTTCATAAGCCTGTTTCCACTGTTTCCAATAGAGCTGGTTTTACTTGTTTCAATAATGTTTGAGTTCTGGATCAATGCAGACTCTTGCGCTCTCCTTTGGATTTTGCTACTTATTCTCATATGGATCAAGTTTAGGGATATAACAAGTAACCCTGGGTGTAGTTACTGGTAGGATCCGTGCAGCTAACTCCTGTGTCTCGCTGTGCGCTGATCTCTACGTGAGCTTGTTAATGACTGAAGGCTGAGAGTGCCGTCTCGTGCCAAGACCCACATGGCTGCTGGCGATGCATTAAATCAGCAGTCAATTTGACTGGAAGTTAGAAATCTGGGCTAGGTTAAAGGGATGTGCTGAAGCCGTGTTAATAGCTAGCTTGTTGTCCATATGGTACTGCTTTAATAGAGCACATTTGTTGCAGATGGTGGGAGACTTGGTTTAGGCAGAGGCAGCTTTTGGCAGAGCCTGATTCTTCGAAAGGGCCGCCGTGCTGCTCGGACTGGTCCAGGCCAACTCAGTGATGTCTATCCTCCCTGCTTCTCCTTCACCAAAAAGCCTGCCCTTGAATTGTGGCTTAGTCTTGATTTAAAGACATTCTTTTTTTTTTTTTTTTTTTTTTTTTTAAAAAGGAGCAAATACAATGTGGCTCAGTCACTTTTTCCTGAGTTTGGTCATTTGCTCTCCAAACCGCACCTTTGGAGACTAAGTTCAGTTGTTCCTGACCACAATGGGACTTTAGACAGCAGGCACAGCTGAGGAAACACAAGCACACAAAGTGAAAGAACAAGGTTTGTGGAGAAGGACCAGAGATAAACATAGAAACTAAGCATAGCCTAATTTATTTCTTTTCTTTTTCTTATTTTGTGCTTTTAGCCTGCCTACTGAGGGATAAACGACAAACACTCATTCAGATAAATTAAGGTTTCTCCTTTTAACCTTTCAGGAATAATGAGCAAAATTGAGTTTCTGTATCAAACTCGTTACTGTTTCTATTCCTCTCCCTAATTTCTGAGCAAAGGTTGGCAGTATACAATAGTGTAATAGCTAGAATTTGTTTGCATGTATACTGTAAGTTCAGAGAGCGTTCCATCTGTGTTAGTGATTGTTTTAGTTTACTGTGGGCCTGCCTCAGAGTATGTGTGCTTTTTGCACTCAGAGAAGTGAGGAGACACGCTTGATCTGCTCTGCACTGTTTGACGGTTGTTTTCTCACGTTGTCACTGGCATGGTGTGCTGTGCCGTGGTGATGGTATTATGTGCGCTGGGCCCAGCTGAGTGCAGAAAAGAGCAGAGTTTCAGCGCCCCCAGCTCTGCCACTCCCGCCTCCCCAGACACCTTATTGTGAGAAAAGTCTCGGCTGAGCCCTCTGGGCCTCGTGGATCCTAAGTGCTGGCCAGACTGAAAGGCACAGTGTCCTTGGGCCCAGCTCATTCTTTCCATTCTCTCAGAGGCTTTGTCTCAAAAGCCACAAGAGCAAGGCAAGAAAATGCCAAACTAAACCCATGTCACGAAAACTTGAGGTGTTTAAGGCCTGTCATTTTCTGTTATATTTTGTATTTTTTATGATGATGTGAATAAGGGTGTAAAATACAGGATATGTTGAGTAAGGACTATTTTTCTTTCCATTTGTGTTTTAAGTAGTGATTTTCGCAGCAGGAAAATGTGATTTTCAGTCTTTAAAGCTCTTGAATTCAAAGTTATGAAATTGACTAAAATGATGGTGCGGTGCTAAAATGTTGAGGAGAATAACTTGTTATAATGCTGAAAATATTTTTGCATGATATCACTGCCATATTTCAGTGGCTGAGCATCTTTAAAAGGCTTGTTGAGAGATCCACAGAGACATCTACATTCAGCCACAGAGAAAAGTTCCATTCACAAATCTGTTCCCTGGAATCCCTGCTCATTTTCACCACTCACATGGAAGCCTTGATCACTGTTCAACCAATCTTAACACAATCAAACTATATCTTATACAGACCAATAACATACACTAATGGAAACCTGTTGTAAGACATTTTTAGCCATGTGTCTCTACTATTTTGTGGTTAAGGCTTCTGAACGACCCCTACAAGTGGTGACATCATGACCACATCCTTTTGCCTCATTGACGCTGTGAGTCCCAGCTTGGGTCCCCTGCGGCCGGGCTCCCAGAAGCCACAGTACCCATCGCCACACATGGGCTGCAGCTGGACCACCGTTAGCTAGTCTGAAAAGGATTGGGGCTGCAGCGGGATCTGTGGTCACAGTGCTGTATGTACATGTATATATCTGCGCACGGCTGTGGAAAAAGACTGTATAGAGATCAGTAGGCAGAGTTTATTTGATGCAAACATATCATCAGGCTCTCTGTGCAAACCAATGTTGTATGCAAATCCACTCCCTCGATGGAAAGAGGTATAATTAATGATGTCAGTTCATAAAAAGAGAGGATAAGTTGCTAGCCATATTTCTGCTTTAATTAAAGACATGCCTTATTATGGGAGGAAGATGTATGCTCTGTGTTTTTTCTTTTTTCCCTCTTTCTTTCCCTTCCCCTCTTTCTTCTTCTTCTTGATTATTACTCGTTACATAGTGAAAATGGTTCTCTGTGATTTCTCCTGCCAGAACCCCCACACGCTGACATGGAGGGCTTTCTTCGTAGCAGCTTTTTACTGAGGTTAGTTTCATTTCTGTTGTTGCCATTAAGGATCACAGGTTGTGCTAACAGGGGTTTGTAGCGGGCTAACAGGGGTTAAGCTTTCTGACATGTTGTTAACTTTAGACTTTGTCCTGTTTTGTGAGTGTGTCTGTGTGTGTCTGTATATTTGAACATTGTCAAACATGGATTATGACATATTTACCCAAGCTGTGTGTTATGATTGTGTTCATGTAGTGTGTGGCTGTCTGGCATGCTCACCCTGATAGAAGACAGTCAGACTGTAAGCAAACATACACCACTTTAAAACTTTACTGTTTTTGAGCTGTTTTTATTCTTCCTTTCACTTCACCAGAAGATCAGACCTTCTGTGTTTTTACCCATGATGCTTTTTTCTAACCAAACCCCCCCTCCCTCCCCTCTCCCCCCAACCCTTTAAGAACAATAAGCAGTGATATTGGGTAGTTATTATCTTGTGACGTTTTCTGTGTTTGTATTCAACCTACCATAAAGATTTACATTTTGGTTTAAACCCTTCCTATGATTCTAATTAAAAACTTGGTGCTGTCATTACACACAGAGAAAGTAAATAAGAGAGTGTATTTATCATTGGCTCCTTTCCTAGTCAACCACCTTCTCTAGGCTCCAGTGTTGCTCCCTAATTAGGGGTTGGCTCATTAGAAGCCAGAGCAGCAGCATCTGCCTTTCAAAGCTGCTGTCAGCCAAACTTTACTAAAGCTAATGAATCCTCTTTGATTTCTTTTTCAAAAGGTCACTTATTTGATTAAATTAACAGCATTTTTTTCCCTTTCTCAACTGCTGGGGGCATTTTAAAAAGAAAAGACAATTTGATACCAATACTAGGGAGAATGTCCTTCAGGAATCCAATAAGGAAAATCTCTTGGGCATTTTTTATTTAGCTTAAGAATTTAATCATGTAAAATCACACTTAGAAATAAAACTCCAACATTTATATGAATGGCTTTGACTGTTTCTCGTTGTTTCATTGTATTTAACATATTGAAAGAGCAATTTCTCACTTATAAACTATTTGAATTATATAGGATATAATGTAATATCTAATAAACTTACTGTTTGCTGCAAAACATGCAATTCAAAAAGTACAATATTTTTTGTTCTTAAGGCATGGCGCTTATCTTTTTACTGTGGTATATCTGATTTTACAGAAGTTATTCTGTCGTCCAGCTGCTAAAAAGTGAACTACCTATGCTTATTTCTGCTTTTGTTTTAGGAGTAATTGTACAGAGTGAATGACAGCATAAGCTCTCAGCACCTGTCCAAACCAGAAAGGAAGATTAAAAAATTACACTTATGGATACACTATAAACTATGTGCTAAAGTGGGACGGTACATAGAGGATGTCTGGCAGAAGCACATGTTTGATTCTCCGGAAATGTTTTGCACACATCTTCTAAAGACAGCAAAAGGACCGAAACATGACCTTTGGCCTCTGCTGTCCTCTAAACAATTTCTTTTTGTTCTCATGGCAGTGAGAAACACTGTGATTATTCTAAGTAAACACATTATTGCACTGCTAATCCACATCCCTCTGTCAATGTCCGTTTTAATTAAAGGAGAAGAGCCAGTAGAAAGATATCAAGCACACTGGCTGCAGATTGGACGCCTCAACAATCAGGCCGAGATTAAAGGCAGGCTTTGCTTCAGGGTTAGCCCTTTTGCTTGGATAACACTTGTGTCCTGGAGTGGGCTGTGGGGGTGGGGGGAGGGGTGAAAGGGGAGGAAAGGATAGAAACAAGGGATGGATGTGGCAGATTGACATTCCTCCACTGAAGAATCCCAGTATCTTTTCTCAAGTAACTGAAATAGGTCAAAGTTTTTTTTTTTTAAACATGCTCATACATTTCTGATCCAATGAGCAGATGTTATTGGCTTTTAGAGCTATACGGCATATTTCACTTTCACACCGGATGGGCCTTTCTTTATTGTATTGACTCATGAGTTTTGTTTTGAGTCATACAGACAGTGCACTTAGTTTTTAAAGCTGTAAAAGAGCTTTCTAACAGCACCTGACACATGGCAACATTAAAAATACATCAAACTCTTCAGATGAGGGGAAAAGTTTTCATTTCATATTTTATGTACAAGTCAAGCCTTTGTACTGCGGTATAAAAATAATGCCAGTTTGTTTAAGATTCCCAAACAAAGGCAAAAGTTCTTTGAACTAAAGTATACAAATGTGTCTGTAACAGACAACTATTCCTGCTGCTATTGTAAGCCTCTCTGAAATGAAGTGTTTTCATTTAACATCAATTTTTTTTATGTTTACGGAAGACTTTTAACAAGTTTTTGTTTGTGTATCAAAAACACTGAGAAAATGAGAGTGAGTGTGGAGAGAAAGGGGAAGGAAGAGATAATACAGTAATGTGAACAGAGAGAGAGGGAGAGAGAGAGAGAGAGAGAGAGATCTTCAGTCTTCTGTCTGCTCCCAGTGGGCAGGACCTCCCCCTACATTTCTGCCATTATTTGATGTAATGAAAGGAGAAAGTGTGTAACATTGAGATTGTTAATTAATTTAGTCTAACAAGATGAAGATAAATGAAACCCACCGAAGGTTGACTAGGCTAAGGGGCCCACTTAGCATTTTCCAGCCCTCGAGCTCAGTCTTCTCTCTCGCTCTCCTTTACAATGGAGCACAGCTAATAGGTGCAGCACAGTGTTTGTACAAACCTGCCAAGCTCTCACACAGTAGGTTTAGGTGTGGAAACTTCTGGGAAAATATTTTATTTCCCCCTGTGAATTAATCATCATTTTCTCTCTGGGATGTTGTCATTCCCAAATGGCTGGGCTGGGTTTGTAATGAAGTTAGTTTTGGAGCACAGATATGCAATTATCTAATTGAGTTATCTTGACATGTTAGATAAAGCTCAGTTGACAAACATGTCTGGTGAAGTAAATTGTCTTTTTAGTTGTATGTATGGAAGCACTGTGGAGAGCTTAATGTTAATTAATTAATTTGATCCTTTGCTACAGATCATTTATATTTAATATCAAAAGGAGGTTATATAAATGGCCATTCTCTCCATAAACTCTGTGGCCCCTTCATATGAGCCTGTGTGACTCCCAGCCTTTCACCAAATGAATGCTTCTTTTCTAATGCAGCTTGGGGGCTGTTTGAGCGCCACGACAGACAAAAAGCAGAAAGGACATTTTTTTTTCTACAAAGCCAGACAGTCGTCTTCATCTGGAGTCCTCACAAGCAAATCAGTAGTCTATCGAGGTCCCTCCTCAGTGGACACTTTGTACAAGATCTTCTTGGCAGCACAGACCGATCATTATGGCCCCCATTCTTTAGTTCCATAGTTCTCAAGTCATCAACAATGGGTTGTTGATTGTATGGAAAACACCAGAACAATTATGCCCTCTGTTTTGGTGGCAGGGCAGTGTTTTTAAAGTGCAAACCTCGATAATGGCCTCATTATTGTTATTCTTGGAGCAAGCCTCAGGAGAGAGAAGTAGCTGCTCGCAGTACGTCATTATTTCGTAAATTTTCGATTAGCTCATCATGCTGTCTCCTGGCAAACAGAATCACAGCTAATTAAAAGTGAGCGAGCGCTCTCGCCTGTGACTTAAAAGGTAGCACTCGATGGGCTTCTAATACGAAAAAAGTGGTAAAAAAGGAGGATTAGAGCTGTTACCCTGGTAACTCCAACTTCCATCTGCGAGGGGAACAATGAACTTGTGTTCCACCACCACCTATGCTTGAAAAAACAGAAAGCAAGGAAGTGAGTGTTTCTGAAAGGACAAGACCCTTTTTAACAACAAAGTGGGATCCAGGCCTAATAGGCTCTCTGGTGCGAGTTGTTAGGCGAGATCACTGGGGGATAGAGGAGCAAAGAGGTCAACGTGTATTCCTAGGACAGTGAAGGTCGTTCATGGTTTTTACAATAGCACGTTGTTTCCTGGATCAGATTGTCTGCAGAGAAAACACAACCTCAATGTTGTCCATCTGAAAGAATCTCAAAGAAAACTAGATTGACAGAAAAGGCTGCTGGTAACATGTCTCCTTGCGATCAAGGGGGCAACATGCCCCACAGCCAAAATGTACACATTCCCTCAGCTGATTAAATAAAAGCAAACACGATTCCAAAGAGTTGGACCAATTAGGCAGAGCTGTCAGAAGCTGTTGGAATTGTCTCTTGCATCTCTTTTACTTATACAAGCAAAGTCTGCATTGAGTTCTGGCATCTCAGCTCATCTGAAAAACAAAATGAACTTTTACATGAATCCCCCTCCTTAATATTTAACCAATGCAGCCTTTCCTTGCAATAGCCATAACACAACTGCATTTTCCTGCTTGTTTTTGATTTTTTGCATCTTTATCTAACAGCAAAGGATATTATGTTTATATTGAAAACAACTAAAAAAAAAAACTTGGATATTAAATATTTAGTAATATCCATTATTTTTTTCTCAACAGCTTCTCAATCATTGCAAAAGAAATGTTTAATGGTCTTACAGTTAAGAGCTGCTAGACAGAAAAGAAAAGCTCCTGCACTAAAACACTGCTGACTTCATATGATCCATGGCTATGGAGGAACAGTATGTGTTTCTCTTTGAGTTTTATGTCCCTTATTACAGCTGCAATACGTCTGCTCACATTAAGCTAATTTATGGCCGAGGCCAGCGTAACAGCAGCACAGGTTAATGAATTTGGCATTACTAATTAAACGTTATTGAGGGATGAATATGAATCCTGTGGGTGGGAGGGACTGCAGTGAGATGACGAGGAGGGGGGGGAGGTGAGAGGAGAATGGGACAGGAGGGCTGTCTCTTTCGTGAGGGTCTCACTTTGGGTTGCGTTCGCTGGGTGTAAAACATGAGAGGAGAATGTGAGGACAGCTCAGACTTTGAGGTGAAATGGAGGACAGATTTATATTAGAGCAATGTCCGGACCAAACTTTCTCTAATACGAATACGACACAAGAAGAAACAAGACACTATCTTCCAGTGGTTAAGGAAAGAATACCTCCCAAACAAAG